AGCTACACTGACTCCTTGCGACCTTGCTACGGTACGAAAGTGCAAAAACGCATAACCGCTCCGGCCAGCCTGGTGCGTTCCAGCCTGGGTTTATACGCCAAGTACAGCTATGCCATGCCCTTTGACCTTGGACTTCATCTGCCGGAAATGTTTTTCTCAGAAATGGAATTGATTTTTATTTTACTACTTTTTTAATCGCCTATTTCGGAGCTTTCTAAATTCTCGAGTTATAACACTAGTCCAGTGTGGGACTTGAAGTTGTAAGTCTAGCGCAGGGAAATGTGGAAATTGGTTTCTAAATTTTGTCCTTGTATGCACCTTAGAAGTACGTTCTTAAAATTTCAGCTTCCTAGCTTTTATAGTTCTGGGCTTGAACTATTTGTACAAACTACGGATGCGTACAGATATAAGTCCGTCACGAAAAAAGCAAAAAAAAACCTCAGTGGGTATAGCCATCGTTTCGCCGATCGTGTTGGCCATCCAGACCATAAGATAAGAATAGAAAGCAATCCAAAGGATGGAGCCAACGAATGTAAATGGAAACCATTTACGCGCCTTCTAAATTAACTATTCTTAAAAATTTCAATAAATTTTGTAATTACCACTGGAAACAATCATCAATTAATGCGTTTTAAAATCATTTTTAGCAAAGTTCCCACTGAGGTCTAGAAGTCGGAAAGTCCAAAACGAGGTAACAGTGCTCATCACACCTTTAGACATATCAAAGCAGCTAAAGTCTTGTCAAACGTGTCTGTCAGGAGAACCGTTAGCTGATAATCCATTCGGAGGATAAACCAAAAGTCAAGATCACTAGCAGACTGTTCACCAAGCCACGCAGTATTGGGCAAAGCGACTGGGAAAGTATCATTCCAGAGGATCAAGCTTATTAGTATACTCAAGTATTTTCAAAAAATATTTCTACTGCTCATCATTCCTAGTTTCATGACCAAACTACGAGGGGTCAGATTTCATTTCCTCCAAGGAGTTAGACTTTCGAAAATCCAGAACTAAAGACAAAATAATATGAGGTTTCAATCCAGAAAAAAATTACGCGTATAATTTCTGTGTTTAGAAGAGAGTTTCACAA